GGGCAGGGGGAGGTCAATGGCAGAAAAAGGGAGACAATATGTACTCTATTTGTAATACTTGGAACTCTCTCTCTCTCTCTCTCTCTCTCTCTCTCTCTCTATATATATATATATATATATATATATATATATATATATCCCATTGTGTTTGATAGCAGAGAATGCTGAAAACGTGTTTATTACAGAATATTAAGGGAAATGAAAGCCAGAAGAAAATAAAAAGACCCAGAATGTACCCCTAAGCCAAGAAGGGTATGATAGAGTAGTTAATGGATGGGCTCTTTTTTTTTAATGTGAATTTTTTTAAATTGTTTTATTGCTTAAAGTATTACAAAGAGTATTATATATGTCTCCTTTTTTTTTTCTCCCCTTGACCTTCCCCTGGCCTCCCCTACCCCCCAGTGTCTTGTGTCCATTGGTTATGCTCGTATGCATGCATACAGGTCCTTCAGTTGATCTCTTACCCCATCCCCCAACCCTCCCCGGCCTTCCCACTGTAGTTTGACAGTCTGTTCGATGTTGCTCTGCCTCTGTATCTATTTTTGTTCATCAGTTTATAATGGTCTTAATTATCCATAACTGAGTGAGATCATGTGGTATTTTTCTTTCATTGACTGGCTTATTTCACTTAGCATAATGCTCTCCAGTTCCATCCATGCTGTTGCAAATTGTAAGAATTCCTTCTTTTTTACAGCAGCATAGTATTCCATCGTGTAGATGTACCAGTTTTCTAATCCATTCATCTGCTGATGGGCACTTAGGCTGTTTCCAGATCTTAGCTATGGTAAATTGTGCTGCTATGAACATAGGGGTGCATATATCCTTTGATTGGTGTTTCTGTTTTCTTGGGATATATTCCTAAGGGGAATCATTGGGTCAAATGGGAGTTCCATTATTAACTTTTTGAGGAAACTCCATACTGTCTTCCATAGTGGCTGCAACAGTCTGCATTCCCACCAGCAGTGCACAAGTGTTCCTTTTTCTCCACATCCTCTCCAGCACTTGTCGTTTGTTGATTTCTTGATGATATAGCCATTCTGACAGGTGTGAGGTGGTACCTCATTGTTGTTTTGATTTACATCTCTCGGATGATTAGTGACTTTGAGCATGTTTTCATATGTCTCTTGGCTTTCTGAATGTCCTCTTTTGAAAAGTGTCTATTTAGGTCCTTTGCCCATTTTTTGATTGGATTGTTTATCTTCCTTTTGTTAAGTTGTATGAGTTCCCTATAAATGTTGGAGATTAAACCCTTATCAGTGATAACATTGGCAAATATATTCTCCCATGTAGTGGGCTTTCTTGTTGTTTTGTTGATGGTTTCTTTTGCTGTGCAGAAGCTTTTTATTTTGATGTAGTCCCATTTGTTTATTTTTTCTTTAGTTTCCAATGCCCTAGGAGCTGTATCAGTGAAGAAATTGCTTCAGCATATGTCTGAGATTTTGTTGCTTTTGGATTCCTCTAGTTGGATGGGCTCCTGAGACAAACTCCCTGGGCCTGGGACAGGCTCACCTGCTAACTAGCTCTGTAACCCTGGGCAAGGTTCTTAACTTCTCTGTGCCTCAGTTTCCCAGCCTGTCAAGTGGAAGTCAACAACAGCACCTACCCCATGGGATTCCTGTGAGGTTTAAGGAAAACAAGGCATAAAATACTTAGCACAATGCCCAGTGTAAATGCTAGTTATCACTGTCATCATCATGACATCAATGACAGACTTTTTTTTTATACCTTTCTGTATTCTGTATTCTTGATGCTGTACAGTATTTGCTTATTGTAGAAGTGTTAGAATCAGAAAAAAACAAAAGCATGAGTAATAACATACTCTAAAACCCTGACATTTTTGGATTTAACAGCCACAGGCTTGCCTGATCTTGAGTGAGCGTAAAGGGCCATGAGATGGTTGTGGCACTGGCTGAAATCCCCCGAGCCGAACGCGGGACTGGTGAGCTGCTCACTGCTGTGCAGGCAGTTCACCTCAGGCAGAGACCACTGACATTCGTCATACGCTCTCCTGAATCCCAGGAGGGGAATGAGCTGTGATAAGCCCCCAAAAGTCTCAGGAGGGCCCCCCTGAGGACTCTGAGGGTTCCCTCCATCCAGCATGCATCCCAGAATCCACAGGAGGCTTTCTAATGTTGTGGCTGCCCCCATCTTCAACCCTCCATGTGCTTCACTGACCCGCCAAGCCCTGTGCCCTCCCAGCCTCCCTCTGGCGACCGAGGCAGCAGGGCTGCCCTCCTCACCCAGGTGATTAAGCCAGTGCCGTCTGTGTCCATCTTCAAAAACAGCGCCTCTAGCATATCATCTGACACATTGCTCAGATTGTTCCTCATGGCTTTAATGAAAGCCATCTTGTCCAGGGCTTCAAAAGAGAGAGGAAAGAATATTGTCTACTTTATCACAACCCACCATTGACCACAGCGTTTTTAGGTGTCTGGGTGCTGAGGGGGGACACAGAGCGGATCACATTTGCCAGGTTATCTGTTGCAATGCCTGTTCAACATTCAATCACCCCACAAATACTGGCTGCACACCTTCCATGCAATAGCACTATGTTGGCCCCACTGCTGTGGGGGGTTGGGGGGGGGGAGCGTGTACTACAAAAGATCAGATATCATTACTCAACAAATAAGACTGACCAGGCATCAAGACAAAGAAAACTGAAGAAGAAGAAAAAAAAACTAAGGGGAAAAAAAAATTGCAACAATGAGACATGAATTCAAAAATATAGAGGCAAAGGTGAAGTGCATCTTTTAAAGGCAATTAAAACACAAACTTGGCTGGAGGGAAAGATGGGGAGAGGAAAGGAGAGAGAAGGGATGAAATATCTCCTGTGCTGGGTCTTGTGGTTCTAAGTTTCTCTGTCTACAAGTAAGTCGATAACCTCTGTCTAGATTTTTGAAAATAATTGTTCATCAATTTATAATGGGGTCCAGGGCCCCTCCTGACTTGAGTCACCCTTCCTAAAACATGCCCTGCCTAAAGTATTTGTAACGTGCTTCTAAAATCCTCTCCAGCCCTGGCCGGTGTGGCTCAGCTGGTTGGAGCATCATCCTCTGCACCAAAAAGTTGAGGGTTTAATTCCCAGTCCAGGCACATACCTGAGCTGTGGGTTGGATCCTGTGTTGGGACATGTACAGAACAACCAATCAATGTTCTCTCAAATCTCTCTCTCTCTCTCTCTCTCTCTCTCTCTCTCTCTCTCTCTCTCTCTCCTCTCCTCCCTCTCTCCCTCTCCTTTCCCCTCTCTCTAAAATCAATATGCTTAACCTCAGATGAAGATTTTTTTAAAGTAAACAAATAACAAATAAAACCCCTCCAAGTATTTGGAGTCCTTGCCATGGTCTGAAGGCCGTGCATCATCCTGCTTCCTTCATCCTCACCTCCCACGGGGGTTCCCTGCTTTCTCTGGTCCAGCAATTAAGTCCCCCGCACTATTTCTAAAACCACTGAGCATACTCCCACCTGAGGGCCTTTGCACTGTCTGGCTCCCCCACCCAGGGAAGCCTTTCTGGAGACTAAGGAGGCCCCCGACCCCCACACCCGGCTGTCCTGTCCTCCTGACATTCCTCATCACCACTCCAGCCCGTGAGCTCCAGGACAGCAGGGCTAAGCCTGTCCCCCCATGACTGTGTCCCCCGAGGCTTCTGTCAGCACTAGGATGTGATGGCAATGACACTGGGTGCCAGTCTCATCTGTGTTTATGCCTACTGACCACCAAATGAGAGGGGCTTGTGAGGGAACTCGGGCAGAGGTGAGGTCGACGCCCAAGGTCACACAGCTGGGAAGTGGTGGAGCCGAGACTGAGCCCAGCAATCTGGCGCCAGAGGTCTGCTTTCACCCCACTCTATGCTCCTCAGCAATCGTGCTACAGCCACGCTTGGTACTGTTATTGCTGCACTGAGGACAAATGGAAGCTTGGACAAAACATGCCCTGCCTAAAGAAGGATCCATTGTATTCATCTGAAGCTGGAGCCAAGAGGCTCATGCATTTTGAGTGGCACCTCCCAGTCATTCCGTGTACAACATGGACATCAGATGACCGACCACGAGCAGCAGCCTTCCCCTGGGGACAGAGCTGGAGTCAGCGCGCCTTTGTGCAGCGTTTAATGAAAACACTCCTCCTGAGAGCGCCCCAGGGATCCCGTCTTTTCACAGTGTTTTGGAAACCGTAGACACTGTTCTCGGCCATATTATTTTAATATACTTCTTCTCATAAACAATCTACCAAATTTTTGAGAAAACAAGAGAGCAGACACAAAGGTATTTTAGAAAGGAAATGTACACTGTGGGGGCAGGCAAGACCCTGGCTCATCACCTCTGAAAGGACGCACTCACCATCTCGTCCCAAATGGTTAATTAAAGGCTCTCAAAGCTTCAATGTGACAATATCACTTCCCTGGGGAGGGGGCACTACTAGGATCAGGCAGGCAGGAACTTTCGGGGGAGGGGGCCCCTGACTTGTGCCAGCCCACTCGTGAGCCACCAATGACCTCTAACCAACCATACCTGACAATGCCCTTGTCTTGGGGCCTCCCGCCTCCCTGGGCAGCTCCGCCTCCTCCGGGCTCTGTTGCCGGCCCTGCCCTGTCACCCTGTGTCTGCCTCTTCTCATCACTGGCCTTTTTGATTTGCCACTTAAAGCTCTCTTGAGTGACCTCATCTATTCACCCATCTCTCCATCTCTAGAGAGGATTTCTCTCCCATGTCCCTAACTCTATTTCCAAGTCCCCCTGGTCCCTCCAGCTCAATGTTTTAAATCCAACTTACCTTTATCACAAAATGTGCTCCCCTTTCCTGTGTTTGCCTCCTTTGCTAGTGGTGTCACTTCCCCCAAGTCACCCAGGCTGAAAACCCTCCTAACTCCTCATAAGAATCCTATGACCCTAGAATGGAGGCACTGTCTTCCTCCCATCACACAGGTAAGGACACAGAGGGACTGAGCAGTTCAGGGACCTGCCTGAGGACACACAGTGGCGCAGCAGGGATTGAAAACGAAGCCTTCCCTCCTCTCTGTCATAATCTCCACTCCCCTCTTACAGCCAAGCCCTCCCATAGCCACCCAACCTCCTCAAACAAGGCTACATGTGTCACCTCCCCGTCAGGCCCACTGCTGGGGTCCAGGGCCCCTCCTGACTTGAGTCACCTTCCATGACCCCTTTCCTCCCTACCTTGCCCAAGGACATCCCTTCTCCCTCTAGCACAGCAGCCCTCCTGCACCTCTCTTCTGCCTTTGCCTTCCTAGAACTGCCCTCCTCTCCATGTCCTGGGAAACTTCTACTCCACCTTCCCAGGCAGGTTTCTAGCCATACACACTTCCATTCCCAAGTGCCTCCCAACACCCCACCCGACCTCCACCCCTTTCTCTTCCTCTCTTTGTAATGACTGTTTTTAAAAATAAATGCTATGTGCCCAGCCGGCGTGGCTCACTGGTTGAGCATTCACTTATGAACCAGAAGGTCATGGTTCAATTCCTGGTCAGGGCACATGCCCGGGTTGCGGGCTCGATCCCCAGTGTGGGGCGCGCAGGAGGCAGCCAATCGATGATTCTCTCTCATCATAGATGTTTCTCTCTCTCCCTCTCCCTTCCTCTCTGAAATCAATAAAAATATATTTTTTTAATGCTATATGAAAACTATTTAAGGAAAAAATGTTGTTTCCTAACCTCCCCCTGCCCTCTGGGGGAAATGAGCACGTGCTCACAGACAGTCCCAGAGCGCAATCACAGACCGGCCCCTGCGCTGCCTGGTCCCCTCTTCCTTCACTTACTCTGGCATCTGGGGTGCTACGCATGGTGTGGGTGCCCAAGAAAGCACAGGCTTTGGTGTCAGAGGCTCCGGGCATGTGAGAGGTTTGGGCATGTGAGCAAAGAAAGGCCCAGACTCCTCACATAGACAGCCAGGACACTACCGCCAGCTGTGCAGGGCCCTCATGAGAATAAAATCTGACAGGGCTTTACAACCCCGGAGACTGTCCTAACGCTGATTTTTATCATGCCTGGCAAAATGTCTGCTGGGGACCCTGTGCCACTGACATCCACCCAGGAGCGCCTGCACAGAAGGTAAGGGCCACACGGGGTCCAAGCAGGGAGCTGCAGACTGTCGCTCAGTGCTAATCCCTCAACCCCTGAGCAGCCTGCAGGCTCCCCAGGCATGGGGTGCTGGGGCTGTGGGTACATGGACACTTTCAAAGCCTCCAAAAGATGGGTTAGCACTCCTCTTAAAGAACCACAGACCCACCTACCTCAAAGACCTCGGTTCAACCAACAGAAAAACTAAGGCTGGGAAGGGAACTTGCAGAACAGCGAGGAGAGCCCTGTCCTCTCCCCGCTCCACCGAGGCAGGCAGAGCTGGTCAGGGCTCCCATGAAAAGGCATCGAGAGTCCATGCCAGAATCCATCTGTTTTAAAGACTTTTAAAGGAGGAAAGCTATCCTATTTTCCTTTACCCTATACATCAGCTAAAGGTGAATTTTCCTCTCTTCCATTTAAAACCATGACCATTTTTTTAAAAATGAAGAGCCTCTCAATTACATTGATATGAAAAGATTACCAAGACATAGTAAGTAAAAGGCAAGAGGGGAAACTTTGGTAAAAATTATTTTTTGAAAAAGCAAGGAACAGGCAATTGTGGGGATCCTTTTATAATGTATACCAGTATCAAATCCTCACAGTGTACACTTTAAATGTATTATAGTTTTATTTGTCAATTATACCTCAATAAAGCTATAAAAAATAGCAAGTAGAATTATGGGGAGTAGGCTCCCACGGCACATTTTAAAAGGGGGAAGCAACTATACCCACTTCTGTACTTGTCCAGCAGAGGGAGACATTTCTCTGTATAACAAAAAGGTATCATGGGAAAGTGCATTTTGAATCTTGAACTGCATGACTATATTACCTATTCAAAACCAACACAATCAAAATCGTGGCCAAAGTTGGCGCTGTCGGGGTCCTCCAAGACACAGGTGGCAACTCCTGGCTGCCAAGCACGAGCAGGAAAGAACTCCAATTAGGAATCATCTCATCTTCAGGTCAGACACAAATGGTCCCTCTCCAGACTCACTTTCCTTATTTGTAAACAAGATTTGTTATCCTTTCCTGCCCACATTACAGTGTGGCTGTAAAACTCAAAAGAAATTGATGGGTTGAGTAGACAGGGCCCTAGCACTGATGTTCATAGTTCAGTGGATATAAATGCCTTTAAGTATTCCTACTATTTAACTTTATGTGTATAATCCCAAGGGGGAAAATCAAGGTGTAGAGAGAAAACATTTGATACACAAAGGATGTTTTTCACAATGTTATTAAACTCAATAAACCTAAATGTCCAAATATAAAGGAAGGGATTGGTCAACCAGTAGAACACTTGCATTTATTGGTTATGATGGCTTGGAAGACCACATGGCAGTATGAAAACGCCTTTAAAGGGTATCAACATTAAGAGAAAGAGAAGGGTCTGGAATTACATACATAGTACAATTACAGACATGTAAGGACACACATAGCCATATGTGTAAGAGGCCCCATGAGGTCCGCCTCCTAGTGTTCATGCCTCCCTGCAATCCCCTTCCCTTGAGTGTGGTGGGACCTGTGGCTCACTTCTAACCAATATGGCAAAGGTGATGGGATGTACAGGACCACGTGTACATGATTACATTACCATGAGATAAGACTGTAGCACCCATCTTGGCGGAGTTTCTATCTCCCTAGCTGGCTTGAGCCTTTAAATCAGCCATGTTGGAGAATCCCACATGGCCAGGAACTGTAGGCACCTTTAGAAGTTGAAGGCAGCTTCCAGCCAAGAAACAGAAGCCCTGAGTCCTGCAGCTGCAAGGAACTGGATTCTGCCAACAACCTAAATGAGCTCAGAAGTGGATCCTTCCCCAGTCAAACCCCAGATGACACCACAACCCCAGCTAACACCTTCATTGCATGGTAGTGAGACCTTGAGCAGAGGATCCAACTAAGCTATGTCTAGACCAGGGGTGGGCAAACTTTTTGACTCGAGGGCCACAATGGGTTCTTAAACTGGACCAGAGGGCCGGAACAAAAGCATGGATGGAGTGTTTGTGTGAACTAATATAAATTCAAAGTAAACATCATTACATAAAAGGGTACGGTCTTTTTTTTTTAGTTTTATTCATTTCAAACGGGCCGGATCCGGCCCGTGGGCCGTAGTTTGCCCACGGCTGGGATAGACTCTTAACTCACTAAAAGTGTGAGATAATAAATGTGGTCATTTAAGTCAGTAAGTTTGTGGGAATACTGTTACACAGCAATACGTAATAAGCCATACATATAAAATTTTTTGAAAAAATATATACCAAAGTGCTGACAGTAGTTACATTTAGGTATTTGGATTAGGGATTTTTTTTTTCTATATCCCAAGTAGCCTCCAATATGCTTACAATACTTATTTAACAATAAAGGAGACACTGGATGCAGAAATGTTTGTCAAATCTGAATATCCAAACACCACAGGTACTGGGTCCCCCCTGTGCAAAAGCCAGGAGACTACACCCACCATGCAGCTTTACCTCCAGTCGAGTTTATGTTGTCCTCAAATATTTTCTCAATCTTGCCCAGGTGTAGCTCTGTAAACGGCTGAGACTCGTCTTGTATGGTGGACGTCTGGCTAAAGGTGACGGATGACGATGGGAATCTACCTAGGGTGGATGACTGGAACAAATATTACTATAAGAACCAGGGACTAAGAAGGTTGATTTCCTGCCCTGAACATTTTTAAGCACATCTGATTAAAAGAGAGAACCTTGCCCTAGCCGGTTTGGCTCAGTAGATAGAGCCTCAGCCTGTGGACCAAAGGGTCCCAGGTTCAATTCTGGTCAAGGGCACATACCTTGGTTGCAGGCTCCTCCCTGGCCCAGGCCCTGGTTGGGGCTCATACAAGAGGCAACCAATCGATGTGTTTCTCTCACTGATGTTTCTGTCTTTCCCTCTCTCTCCCACTCTCCCTAAAAATCAATGGAAAAATATCCTCAGGTGAGGATTAATGAGAGAGAGAGAAAGAGAGAGAGAGAGAGCCAGCCAGCCTTTGGGAAAGGACAGAGCATGTAGTGTTATGGCATGTTACTAACTGACCACTTTCAGACCTAGGAAGACCAAGAAAGATCTAGCCTGCTTCTCCTGACTTTGGCAAATTCCTCTTTTACAGATTCCCCTACTGAGGCTCAGCGAGTTTAGCAGACGTGCCAAGGTCCCACCTTACACATAACAGGACTCTGATTTATAAGGTGCTTCAGTTCAGTAACTATATTGTTTCAAATCTTCAGTTGTCAGAATTCAAGCCCCCAAGAAATCCAGCTCTATGTTCCCCAGACAATTTGGTTCTGACTAGCCCAGACAGTTCATGTGCACACACGTGGAAGCTCATGTAGTCCTCTCCCTCCATCAGGGACTCACAGCTTCCTCCTCCTCCTCCTCACCTCCCACATCCCCCTAAAAGCCTTCCCCACCCCTGCATCCCTCAACAATCAACAATGCTGCCTCTCTTTAGCTCCTACTCTGATACTTGGCACAATGCTTCAGGTTACTAAAGGCTCAGATTCTCAAAGTCTGCCTCCCCTAAGACTGCAGGTGTGGACTATGACATGATAACCACTGAGTGCTGCTCACTGAGACGTGCTGCTTTGGGCTTTTTCGGTCAAGAAAACTTTAGTGGAGGTTGGATTATTCACTCTCCCAACCCCAACCCCACCAACCAAGCAAAATGCTCATCTCCTGTAAACTTCCATCCATTCCCTCAATATCTACACACATTTGTTGAGTGTGGACACTCAAGTGAAGAGTGTGGAGACCTGCCTTCATGGGCCAGGCAGATAAACTAGTTAATCTCTCACCGGCCATGCAGGCCTGCAGATTAGAAATCTGAGCACCATCTTTGGCTCTTCCCTCTTCCTCCTACGCATTCTTACTGCCCCTCATATTAGTTCTTACTACGATCCATCTCCTACATCTAAATCCTCCTCGCATGATATCCCTGCCCCAACCTGCACCCTGGCCTTTTGCTGGAACAAGTACAGTGGCTTCCACTCACTGGGACCAGAATTTGGCTTTCCCTATCAATCCACCTCCCAACACTGGCACCTATCATCTTTCTGGAAGGCAAATCTGATCAGCTCTAACATCTTCCAGGCTACTCCCACCACCTCCAACTACTGCGTGTGGCATTCAAAACCCTTTGCAATGCAGCCCTGACCTACCTTTCTAGTTTCAATGCACACACCATGGTCCAGGCACAGCAAGGGCTCTCCAACATCCCCACACAGCAAGCATGCCACTTTTACGTACACTGTTCCTTCTATGTATTACTGACCATCTCGCCCAGAGGTGAACTCCTACCCATTCTTCACAGTCTGGCTCAAACGGCACCTCCTCCAAGGAGTCACCACTGCCACCTCTGTACTCCTAAACTTTGTTCATATCTGCCATGCATGTGTTATACTAATGCACGTGTCCATACGTGTAGACAGCATGGGCTAGAATTCTGCTTGGCTCCCTACCTCAGAGCAAATTATCTTGGGCATATTACATCACTTCTATGAGCCACAAGTGTCTTCATCGGCAAAAGAGATCCACAATACCCACTTTGCAGGGTTGTGGTAAAATTTAAACAACATCTGAACACATGCAAAGGCCCAGCAAACTGCAGTCACACAATAAATGATGGCTCCTGTTATTACTCCTCTCATAGTGAGCAAGGGCATATTTATCTTAATTTAATCTATACTAATTATCTCTATAATTCCCCAGCCCCAAGTTCATAAGAGATACTAAATACTTATCTAGCTTGATAGTAATTTGTACAGCCCATCGCACCATTATCACAACTGGGCTGAAGAAAATTAAGTCTAGTCCATGGAGAGGCTGCCATTGGGTAGCCTCAGATTTGCTGCATTTGGCCCATGCAGTGCTTTAAAAAGGAAGAACCAGCCTGCCTTAGCACACACTTCAGTTTCCTATCTGGCTTTGTAAATATCTGAGTTTGCAACCCCTGGTGAGAGACTGATAACCGATATAGACTTCTATTCTATGCCTATGAGTGATGTCTGGGTGGCGCTGGAATACCCCCTCCCGTCACCAACTCCAGTTTTCTTACCTCTTCAGGTTGAAGACTCTCTAAGTTCTCGAAAGATTCTGATGTTAACCTAGAATTGGGAATCATAGTCACTTTAAGTCCAGTCTTTGTAAGGACCCTGTGGGAGGCTGACCTAGCTGGGTCACAGAAAGGGGGAAAAGAAGTCAGGGTTAAGGCAGGAGGGTGGCCCATGGACACCCCAGCACGCATTTGATGAGCATCCCTTTTCCCATAGGGCAGTGGTTCTCAACCTTCCTAATGCCGCGACCCTTTCATACAGTTCCTCATGTTGTGGAGACCCCCAATTTCATTGGTACAAATTGAACACAATTAAAGCATAGTGATTAATCACAAAAACAATATGTAATTATATATGTGTTTTCCGATGGTCTTAGGCGACCCCTGTGAAAGGGTCATTCAATCCCCAAAGGGGTCGCGACCCACAGGTTGAGAACCGTTGCCATAGGGGCCTCTCCAGCAGGAAACTTTTCCAAGTTTACACCTGAGTTTCCTTTCCCTGATGAAAAGTTGTCCTTCTGAAGCCCTGGGGCTTCTCAAGTTACTCTACTCCTAGCTTACAGCCAGGGGCTTCCTAAAAGGGTCATCCTTTTCACAGACTTAGGAAGCCATGAGGTGACCCAACTACAATTGATTAGGAAAGTAAGGCCCAGGGACAGGCCTGTGTCCAAAGGGTCAAAGACATGCACCAGAGGGGAAGCAGGAGGGCCCAACTGTCCACTTCCTACACCTCCCCCAACACTGCCCTCTGATGCCCTCAGAGACAGGACTTCTTTGGGAGAAGTGACAGAACCCTCCTCACAGTAGCAAAGGGTCAGGGGAGAATGCGTAGAGGTCTGTTCCCTGCAGCTCTGCTCTGAGAACATAAATGACATGTTTCCACTGGATCAGTGGCACCTCCATGGAAGATGGGAGCCGGTGAGTTCACCTCTTTAGCAAGTCCCACCAGCAGGAACGGAGAGGGTACTCTAGGATGGCAGGGGAATGGCCAGGAAGGACTCAAGCCCCACACATGCTCAGTAGAGCAAATGAGCCAGCTTGGCAAAGGGCTCCTGGGGGAGGGAAGGAGAGGGGAAGAAGAGTGGGAGAGAAGAGAAAAATGGAAGTACAATGTAGCACTTTAAATTACCTTGCCAGGGAGGCTGAATAGGATGAAGGGCAATTATGAACATGAGAGAGAGAGAGAGAGAGACAGACAGACAGACAGACAGACACTGGCCAGCAGAGCCCTAACCTAACAGTGTCTTGGCAGCAGCTGAGATGTAAGGACCAAAGGAGAGAGATGAGCCAAAGGAAAGGAGATTTGGAAGCCAAATCTCAGGGTAACTGAGGGAAATGCCAGAAACATTTCTAGAAAAGGGAGCAAAGAGGGAAAGTAGCCTGATGCGTGTTATGCTGAACTGTCCAATTAGAAATAAAAAAACAAATACCTGGAAATAACACTTGAGGGGTGGCTACATTTAGGAGACAGAAAAAGGAGAAACACAGACAAGACAGGATGAGTCAGCGAGGAGGATGGGATGCTTCAAAGTGGGCCAAGATAAGAAAACGAAAAGGCCACTGAACATGGCCGTTAAAGGTCCCCAGTAAAAAAAGGCTGCAGAAGTGGATTTCTGCACCCACTGCTGTTAAGCATATGTGTGCAGGCACAAGCACAGAGACCCCGCCCAGGAAATTATGCTCCGTGTGTAATGGCAATTATTTCTGGCAGGTGAGATTACAAAGGACTTCTAAATCTCTATTTTTTTAATTCAGAAAAGGTCCACAGCAATCTTTAAAATCTATTTCAATGGTGGGTGGCGATGTAAATTACTAACCTGTGAAAGACCATTGTACAAGAGTGATTGCTGCAGCACTGTTCATAGTGGTAAAAAACAGAGTGAACGGCTCTCAGAAGAGGGATGTCTGAAAAATCAGCACACCTGAACTCAGATCCTCACCCAAGCACTCAAAAGGAGGAGCTGCCTCAAAACGGATGCACTAGGAAGCAGGCACCCACAGACCCTGGAATCAGGTTCAAGGACATTTGGGTAGAAAATACCAGTACATAGAGCAGAGGGGGAGGGGAGCCTCTGGATGGCCATATCCTCTTGGCCCCATGGGCTCTGTCACAGGTGGAGAGGGGTGTGGCAACCCACAGCCTTCTTGTCTGGGTCTAAGAGAGGGACTGTACCGTCAATATGTTCCAAGTCATGAGTAGAGAGAAAAGCATGAAAGGACACACACTAGGTATTGACATGGGTTATAGGGAGTTGGGGGCTAATGTGGCAAAAGGTGGGAAAGAATAAAGGAATACAAAGAAGTCTGCATTAACGAAAGGCACATGTATCCTCACATTTACATAAAGCAGGAAAGCATGGGTACGTTTGAAGAAAATAAGCACGTTTTGTTTTGCTTTAAAGTCTTGACAATTCAAGTAACATCACCAACGAGAGAGCAGAAGGCCTCGGCATGCCTCCTGGGCCCATCGCTGACAGGTGGTATTACCGACAAACACGCCTAACCTGAATCAAGTCTGGAGAAATCTGGAGAAATGAGACAAACCGAAACTGCAGGCCATTCTACAAAATAACTGGGTTTTACTCTAAAAATGTCAGTGTCGTGAAAAACAAAGAAAGGCTAAGGAACTGTTCCAGATTAAAGGTGACTAAAGAGAGCCAACAACTAAAGGCAATGACCCGAAATGGATCCCAGACTGAGGGAGGGGATGGAAGGGGGGACTCTAAAGGCTAGAGGGGTCAATGGGGATAAAAAGGGGACATATGTAATAGTTTCAACAATAAAATAAAATAAAATAAACCTCTAAGGGCCATTAGGACCATTGGTGACAGCTGGAAGCGAGCTCCACATTCTCAGATATTACTGAATTAACATTCCCTGCTTTTGACTGTTGTGCTGTGGTTATAAGGGAACGTCCCTGCTGTTAGGAAATAATATACTTGAGCATTTCAGGGTAAAGGGGCAGTGTCTAATTTATTCCCAAATGGTTCAACAAACATATATAATGACAAAGCATGCATGGCAAAATGTTCACAATTAGCCACTATGGGCAAAGAGTTCTTTACACCAACCATTCTTACACTATTTAGAAAATGCTAATTATTTCAAAACTAAAAATTTTTTAGAAAAATGTGTTTAATCAAAAGAGAGGGAACGCTATGTTCGTGGACTGAGGCAACCAATGGAAAAACATATTGGTGGAGGGCAACAGAGATACCCAAGAGATAATAAGGAAAAGAATAAGAAGCAGAGAGAAGTAGTCCTCCGATACTGGCAAGAAGGAAACTTCAGATATAGAATTAAATTTCTATTTAGAATAGAGAACGAGTAAGATCAGGAAAGCCAGACCCATGGGCCTAAACCTATTTCCTAAAGTTTACCAGCTCTGGGGCAGGAGCCAGGAACTGTACAAACCTGGACACAGGAGTGGAGCTTGAACAGCCACTAACACCACACACTAGGGATGGAAGGAGAATAACTGGGTTGCTGAATCATTGGTTTTTAAGAATCTGTAGAGGCAGATGACTTAAGGCCAAAGACAGGTAAAGAGATGCTCTCCTGTTCAGCCGTTGATCTCAGGCAAACGTATGTTAGGGCCCAGGTGTCCAATCTTTTAGAAATTACTTTATCCCCAAACTCTCACTCACCCAATATGATCTCCCCAGCCAATGTCAAAAGACACATCTGACAGAGGTTTACTGGCTTTCCCCTTCCATCTCGAGAAAGACATCTTGGCAGCTGTCCCTGTATCCAAAGTAGCTCCTCTCTGAGGTTGCCGTGGAACTCCGGAGGCTTCCACCTAACTGCAGAGTCAGCTGGCCACACTGAGAACCAGGAAAGGAGACAGAATTCCACGTGCAGAACACAAAATGGAACAACAGAATCCAACCCACAAACCATAACAACGCAGCCATTTTCATCCAATTTGAGACATTCTTTTTATTGATGAAATTGAACTTACAGCAGACAGTGACAGGAGCTACAGCACACATCGCCAGGACAAGTATGAATACAAAACGTCCCACAGGACAAATACAGCACAGAATGCCCACCTCTCATGGAAAACGCGGAAATGCCAGGGAGCCTTGTGATAAAGCAGGTTCACCAAAACCAGAAGGCCAATTGGCCCCACAGTTCGTACAGGAAAGGGCACAGCAGCTCTCTTCACATGTCCTCTGTGTGAGTGCCAATTCTTTGAAAAGAAGGCTACAAGGGCACTGTATGTGAGATGGGGTCCTACAAATGCAGGCTTCAGAGCAGGCCTGGACTTGGTGCAGCATTATTCACTCGGTCCATGGCACAATACAGCAGGATAGGTTGGCCAACAGCAAATCTTTTGGGGAATTTCAACCAGGGACATGGAGTCTGGACTTAAAGATATCCAGCTAAATCGCATTTCATAGTGACCTACATGTTACTGACATGTAACTGACCACCACACAAGACATTCCCCAGACCTATACCACAAAGGAGAACACCAACAGATAGAAAAAATTTCTGCTCCCATTTCATCAATAAAGATTTTGTCACATTGTAGAACATTAAAAGTAGAGTGGTTCAATGAAATGTCATAAAAGATACAGGTCTTTTAAACCAGTTTTACTAAACGAGGTCTTAATAAGCTAGGAGTGTTTATTTTTTTAAAAACAAGGCTCACAGGTCCTACATTTGACTGTCACCAGTGTGGTGTGTTTTTTTGGCTCAGTGCTTTCATCTCCAATACAATGTTATCATTTCTACTTACAGAAGTTCCTGCATTTGTCAATATTTTTATACAGGCTAAACATGCTAAATTCTGTCATAATAAATATACTTTTCCTTCCCTGGCAAGAAACATGAGAAAAAAAGGAGAAATATTAAGATGCATTCTTTTAGGTAAGGAAAAGTTCAGGATACCCCCACCTAAAAAGAATGTAAATTTAAAAAAAATTGGAGGGGAGGGCATTTGGAAGAAAAAAAATCTCCCAGATAAACCTCTGCACAAAAGTTAATTCTGAAAAAAAAGTTCCAAGTCCCACTTGAGACTAGTTCAGGCATCAACTGCCAATCCCAAGGAGATTCTGATCCCT